ATGTTCACTCGCGTGTTTAATCTTTTGCTTAGAAATTATAAATATATATTATAAATATAAATTATAAATATAAATTATAAATTAATAATAATATAAATTTAATTTTAAAAAATTGATAAAAAATTGAAATTTTTCACCGTGAAAAGATTATTGATAGAATTTTTGTACGATCAGAAATTTTTTCAAATTCAATTTGTGATTTTTTCAATTTTCAATTTGTGATTTAAAATATTTTTGAAACGAGAAATTAATAAAAAATATTGGATCTATATTTATTATCATTTTTACTATTTTATATATTCTTCGATAACTTTCATTATTGGAAATATGATTATATAAATTGATAATAATCTTATTAACAAAATTCTTAATAATATTAAAAAAATAAAAAATTCCAAAAATATAATATTTCTAATATTCCTCTATTTCGATCTGTAGTTTATATACGTTTTCAAATTATCGTAAGTTTAAATTAATAATAATATAAATTTAATTTTAAAAAATTGATAAAAAATTGAAAATTTTCAATGTATCGTACAAAGAAGTTAATTTCTTTCGCGTAATTGAATTTCTCAATTCAAAAATATGCAAAAAAAGTTTTTTCCACATCGTCCAGTTCTCAAGATATTTAAAAAACTATTTTTTCGAAATGGGTGTCGGCCGATAAAAAGAATGCGCGTCAAAAATTTTTTTTTTTTTTTTTAAGAACTATTTCTCTTAATATCTCAAAATCTGCATATGCCATATGTTCAGCTATCCACAATCCATAGAATCTTAGATGATAATATAAATAAGAATATTTTATTGTAAATTTATCGTATACATATACATCATCTACAATTATCTAATTACAATGATCCTTATCAATATAAAAATGAATCTGTGATTAAGTTAATCGACAATAAATATCGAAGGAAATAATTTTGAAACAATATTCTTCGATCGATGGTAATAACTTTTTATTTGAACAATCGTAATAACGTAAATTCGCGATAATACGAAACATAATTTTTACGATAAAATAAAAGTGATAAAAATAAAAATCGAATTTACCTTGAATTAAACTTAAACTGACTTGTAACTTCGAACGTTTTCCTCGTCGAAATAATATTTTTCGTAATATATCGAATATTACGAAACGAATTTATTATATGTCATTATTTATTTTTTTTTTTTTTTCTTTTTCAATGTTCTCTTTCTTTCAAATTTCTCGGGAAATCCGAAGCTAATTGAGAACGGTCAAGAAGGCGCATAAAACGTTCGAAGAATGAGTCGACACGGACACGCGTCGAATACCAAACTCAACACTTGCCAAACAAAAAACATATGATTCCTTTCATTGCACAAAATCGATTTGTTTGCCGCGCAATCCACGTACACAAATGAATTACGATCAATAAAATTTGGAAATGAAATCATCGAGTTTTTTTTTTTTTAACGATTTTTAATTAAATGTTAATATATAAACAAAAATATAGAAAATTAATTGTTAATTAAGAAAAAAATAATCACATCGATCTATATTTTTCATTTTCAAAAAAAATTTGATTTAATTTTTTCTATTTTCTTGATTAAAAAAATGAGACGAAAATAAGAAATTTTTCATAAAAAAAAAATTAAAGAATCATTAAAAAGCTATTTCTTTACGAATTATCTAATCTATATTCTTTATTATGCATATATGATTCTAGGATAAAATTTATACAGATTTATGAACATTCAAGTGAGAGAATATATTTTTATTATTTCTTATATATTTCTGATCCTCAAAAAAGATAATTTTGAACAATCAATGCAATACCTTCCATGGAAAATATTCTCGAGAATTCAAGAAAATTTTCTCTTTTATTAAATTCGCATTTTTAGATGACTATTCAAAAATAATTTTCATTTTCGTTAGCGAAAATTAATTTTCGAAAGCATGTCTCAAAAATTTTTACACTGAATTGAATTCGCATCTTTTTTTTTAAGTTATTCAATACATTATCGATTTTCACTTCAGAAAAAATTTATCCTTTATTCTGAAACGGATTCACCACTTAACACGGCCGATCTATCGTAATCGATAAACGAACGTCAAACGCGATCGATTTCGCGCGCGTGGTGTCGCGACGCTAATAAATATATCGTACTGAGCTCAAGCCCGAAAATAGTCGGGGTAATTGAAAAATTTTCACCGACGCGCCACTGAGAAACCGGCAAAGACAGTGCGACTCTGAAACACCGATCTTTTTAACGAAAATCATCAATGGATGATTCAAATTATCTCGGACAACAAAATGCATTGTCGTACAAAGAAACTCACCTAACCTAAAAATTGTAATTTCAATGAAAGTTGTAATAGAGCCTAACAGAGTTGGCGGAAAATATCTTTAAGGTAAAAAAATTAATAATCCTGGATACACATAAATAATCTTTACAATTTTATTATTATTCTTTTATTATATTATTTTGTATTAAAACAAAATTATTTCAATATTTTTCCTATAATAAAATATTATAGAAAAACTTTTTTATCAATGTCTATACTTTTAAAGAATCAAGAAGATATACAGTGAAACATTAAGTTGCACTAAAAAAAAAAAAAAAAAAATCATTCTATATATCATCCTATACTCACAAAATTTCATTTAAAAAAAATCTAATTTCTTATTCCATAACACAACTTGTTACTCGAGCTTGCTTAACGTATACCGAAACTTTCTTGCCTAGTTCCATATCTCCCCGTAACCCGTTCTCACCGAGAGAAATCAACAAAACCATGAAATAAAATTTTTCAAACACTGTCACGCGTGCATACGATAAAATACTTCGATAATATAAGGAACGAGAAAAGAGTAGAAAAAGAAGAGAGAGAGAAAAAAATCAGCAAGTAAAAAAAAAAAAGAACAGAAATTATCGACAGAGTTTCTTTTCTTTTGATGAATGGACCAGTGTTTTTTCTTTTTTTTTTTTTTTTTTCGATTTAATATTTAACGGCACGCGCGCACAGCTTTCACACGCCACATAAAATCACGTTAAACACTCGACACGACTCCGCTCGACTCCGCTCGACTGTTTGCTAGCCAGGGCATAGCACCTCCCGTAGGAGCCGAGCGAGGAGTCAACCCGCTCCAGGAATAGAAACACCAAAGCCCGAAATCGCTCGAGAGCGTTGGAGGCGCGACGTCGAAACGCGCCGCGACGCGAGAAAGAGAGACGTTGCTCGAACCCGCGAAAACTCGAGTGGATAGGCGTTTTAATAATGCCGTGCCGTGCCGTGTATTTGGCCCGTTCTCTATCACCTAAATGGCTATCGATGGATTTGCGAAATATCGTTCAACAGTTATAGTCGATTTCGAAATATTTTATTAACGCCTGATACGATTTATAAAATTACGTGGACGTAATTCTATGATACTGTATATTAATAATTGGGAAAAAGTCTGATTTATCAGGGAGAATTGGAAGAGAAACACTTATTTTCACGTGTATTTTTATTTTTTATTTTTTTTTTGTTTCCTGTTTTGTTATTTGCCAACATGAATACATATACTAATCCAATCGTGTGATTGAGAAGGGCAAGATTTACTGAATCTCTCAAATAACCTCATAATTGAAAATAATTTTTGTATAATATATGCACAATAATATTCTTCAATTTATTTTGAAAGGGAATATGTGAACATACGTGTGATAAAATGCACGGCCAAGAAAGAGGTAAAGAGGGAATAGATAGTGAAGGATTCTTCTTCCTAGGATTCTTGTTCCTACATAACTTCTTTTTAGTAAAGAGTATTTATATTTCATTATTATTAATATTCCAATCGTAAAATATTACGATAAAAAAAAAATAAAATTTTTTCTGGTTAATTAACGTGATTTGAAATATGGAAATTGATTAATTATAGGTAAAATTGTCGAATTGAAATAGATGGAATTAACGACAAAAAAAATATATAAAACTTGAAAAATAAATGAAAAGTGAGAAGTAATGAAAAATCGCGAGGAGGATGCTTCGAGAGCATTTAATTTTAAAGTGTAACCATCGTATTGCAATTTTAATATTTTCACAGCTCCCCTGTATTTTCAGAGAAAACAATCATCAAATTTCTCTAAATAGTATTTTATGTCGCTATAATACCGCGATATTCGCGTAACGTTACGAAAGGGAAGAAGCGACGAAATATATAAGAAGAAACTTCGATACTCGATAATGTGACGTGAAACGCGTTCTTAAGGTTAATTTAGACGGAGACCACGTGGCCAAATGATCTATGAGAAAATGTCTAGTAGGCAGCAACCGTCCACGTGCCAGTTGCTTACACATTGGCCACGATCGAACACTTGCAACCTGGCTTTTTCGATATAGAATATTTCGATCAACATGCTCAGCAATATAAAATATCTTAAAATATATCTTATATCTTAAAATATCTCGATACATTTCTTCAAATATTAGTTTAAAAAATAATACAAATAATTATTTATATTCCCCGATAAGAATATTCAAAACAGATTTCTAATTTTTAAAAAAAAAATATAAATATTTTTTTTTATTTCAATATAAACGAGAATCGCGTGATTTTTCTTTGAATACATATATTGAACTAACTAGACGTCATAAATTATAGTTATTCAAGCAATTTGTAGTAATATATCAAACTTACAAATTTCGAAGGAATATTTAAATATTTACAGATTGAAAAATATACAAACATATCAAAAATATTAGATTTCATAATTTTATATTCTTTTATAATTTTATAATTTTATATTCTCGAATTACAGCATGAAAAAAATATTAAATATATATATATATATATATATGTGTATAATATTTAATAATTAACGATATTTAATTTTAAAAAGAATTAAACACATTTGAAACAACATTTAGGTTAAAGAAAATAACAATATTTGAACAAAGTATACATTTCTCCATTTTCGAGTTCTTGTCACAGATCCAACGTAGAAAAGGGGTTCAAAGGCAGTGTGTATCGTGAAAAACAAAATAATCAATTTCGCATTGTGCTCAAACCGAAACGGTCGGAAACACCTACACGTCAATCAGCTCACTTCCCGTTTTCCGACTCCTTAAACACAAATCAATCATATCCGTACTGGCAAGTTCTATTTGTGTGCTTTCCTCGGGAACACGTGTTTCATTAGGAAAACGTGTTGATCTGGCATTACACAGATTTGGTAACACGATGGGTCGCTTTTTATACGATTATTGAGATTTGTGTTAATAATATATACAAATATGATTAATGATTAATTATTTTGAATTTATGTTATATTTATACAAAACATTTGACTTTTGAAACAATTGTCTTTCTACTTCAAATTTAAACAAATTTTTAGGATCGTTTCAAAAGAATTGCTTTATTTTAATTTAAAATTTGTGTTTATATATACACTAATTACGAATGAGCGTTATTAATTCTATAATGAAATTGTTATTTGAAAATGTCTCTTGAGAAATATATATGTAATGGAAATCAAGTTTAACGTATTTTTAGCGAATAGATTTTTTTTTTAAATTTATTTGACATGTGATCTAAATATAAGCATAAAAAATACTTGACTTACTTGTAATATTAAGACGAAGGCGACCCACTGGTAATATTTTACATTTTTTATTGTTTTCTTATTGGAAAATATATCGTCTCCTTGATCATAATGATGACTTCCATAAGAAGGCGCAACTCCAGGTGCCACAACGTCTATGCCATTGGTACCCAGCATAGCTCTAGTCACAAAATATGTACTGTGTATCCAGCAATATGAATTGAAAGCCTCAACGGATATATCTCTGCAAAGATAAATAAAATAAAATGTAAAACAAATAGAAAGAAAATAGTAAAACTAAAAAAAACAAAAGTAAAAATAGTAAATTCATATATAAATTGATTTATCGATTATATTCTAAATTTATTGGAAATTATTTATAATAGATTTATTTGCGTATGATATGCTCATTCTCGAAAAAAACTTGAAATTTATGTATTATATATGTTCAAGTAATTCCGGAATTTTATAAGAAAAAAAATAATATTTCGCAGGATTATATGCATTGAGTGTCATCTAATTTTTAAAAATATTCATAATCGATTATTTATATAACGTTTTATTTGAAAATCAAATGCATCTATTTTAATATTATATTGCTATTAATCAAATCTCGATCATAGACAACTTAATCTAATTTTATCCGTTTGGAACATATGCATCAAGAGTCTACTTCAACTTCTTGTTTAAAACTATACATATAAATATCAGCAGATAAACTATGATATAAAACTAAAAATAGATAAATCAAATGATAAGACAATAAAAATATTCAAATGAAAAATAATTCTTTATAAACCGAATGACACAAAATATCGATTTCTTTTTTCACTGAAACATATTTTATGTTATATATAAATTGCCAAAATTCACATATTTTGAAATATTTTACGCAATACAAAAATATACATGCAACATCTGGACCATCAGATCCTCATTAAGCTTAAGGTTATGAAATAGCACAGAAGGAGCAAAATTTATTTGAAACATGAATTAGACTTACCAAAAGCAATATATTTGCTATATTAAACTGCAAAATTATATACATATTCAAAATTGAATATGGATAATATGAAATATTATCTCGAAAAGCAATACAATCGTTTATATTTTATCGTTTAAAAACACACGACCATAAATCACGCATGCGCATCTTAAACTAAAAAGAAGAAAAGATGGCGTATGAAGACAAACAAAAATAGAAGTGACACCTGCCATCAATTAATATAAGTATGTATATAGCGATTGCAGTCGCATTCAACAAAAATAAAATACAAACGAAAATATATATGTAAGTTTATACAAGAAAATTTATACAAAAGAATGAAATCAGTGAAGCACAAATAATCGTTCAATGATCAAAATAAAATATCGTATTAAATTAAGATATTTTAGAATGAAATCTCATATTTGTTTATTACGTGATACAATTATTCAATATATGTTTAGATTAAATTAGAAGATTAGTCATATAAAATAATTGAAAATAATAAATTCTAATCGATTATTTATTTTTTCGTACCTGGTATGAACACATTCTATTGGATTTCCTACAACTTGTTTGCTGCTAATAATTGCTGAAAACATCAGTATTAGAATTGTTGTTAAGAAGTGTAATCTGATAGTGATGCTATCGGTTTTCGTTTTATTCATCTGTAAAATTACATTTCTTTATTAGAAAAATGTTTTAAGTTTATATATATATATAAATAATTATATCTATTTTTTTTTTGTATAAGATATATGTATAAAATATTTATATAAATTTAGCACAAATTTTTAGGGATTTTTTTTTTTCTTATTTTAAATCATCATCCTTCTTTTCCTCATCATCCTCCGTATATCATAATTTCATATCATTAATGGTCATAATTTTAATAAATCATAATTTCAAGATATAATTTTAGTAAGTCTCAAGTTTTTATATTTTATTCACATTAATATTCGCGCATAATTATCAATTTCAATTTTAATTTTATCCAAATTTAAAAAGTTTAAGTAAATTTGCAAAAACCATATTATTCTTATATATCATGATTTTTGATATTGCATTTTATATTTCGCTTATTGCATTCCTAATTTCCATTCTAAAAAACAGATTTTCTCATAATTCACAGATAAGCGAATCATTACAACTAATTTTAATTCATATTTCAATTAATGCATGGAACAAAGCAATCACTTAAGTGGATTGAAACGCTTGTGCTTTGAGTATTGTATTTTAATGAGATATGCAGTCGATTATTCATATCATAAACTCACATGATCAAAAATATCTCGCGGCTTTTAAAAATCTACTTTGTTAAATATATATATATATATTCGATAAATATGAATATATAAAATATTTCATTAGAAATATTAATTAATTTATTTATTACATTAATGATAATGATATTTGAAAGAATTTAAGAATTTATAATATTAAAAAATATATATTTAGTAATAATAATTAAATAATAAATTATTCATTATTAAATTGTTCAAAAAGGAAATATCATATTATTAAAATGTAACGCCCTATTAAAATTACTTCAAATTAAAACTTACATGCAAAGAATAACAAAGTGCCATGACTTTATCTATCATTTTCGCTTCGTTTTTACTTCTAATAGTTCTAATTGTCACATCATTGTATTCAATCAAAACTCTATTTTCCAAAGTTTTATTTGGCGAAAATATAACTTCCCCATTTATGATAATTTTTGCAGAAGAATTGACAGTAGATACATACTTCATACTCGAAAAATTATAATTCAATACAAACATCAATACTTTAGCAATATCACTAAAGTTTAATTTTAAATGTTAAGAAAATATTCTTACGATTTTTTTTATTTATACAACTTATATATATTAACATCTCCATTAATAAAATTTTGTTTAAAGTTAAAAACATGAATTTATTATGGTTCTTAGTCACTTGTTTGATACACTAACATCCTCTTTTGAATTACAACGCAACTTAAATTTCAAAAAACGTATATTCCTGATTATTTTTATTTGTCCAACTAATGACATTAATATCACTATAAATTATACGTATTTTCAACTTTAAGAAAATATATGTATATAAGTACGATTGTTTTTATTCGTTTATCACTTAGTTCAAGTTATGAAAAAAATTGAATTTATTATTTTGTTTTATTTTCTATAATGAACTTTATATCAATTATTTCTAAAATTTGAAGAAACACTTGGAAGTGGAAAACAGATAACGGAAGAACGTCCTACTGGTTGGCAAAACATGAACACCACAACTGTTACTTTTTCTCTGATCTCTTTTAGTTCGAGTCAATTTTATTTTTATATTTTTTTTACTTTTGTATCTCTCTCTTTCTGTCTTTCACTCGTTCTCTTACTACTATTTCGATCAACCCCGCTTCCTTAAAATTGCTTTGGCGCCGATGTGACAACACGATTCACTCGCTACTTTATCTAGTGATGGCATTAAGTAGCTTTCGACTCGTATTGAAATTAAAAAAATTTTTTTAAATTTTGATTTTTTTTCTAAATAATTTATATTTATTTATTTTAGCGAAACAAACTTAAACATTTTTGAATGATTTTTATATTTTAATTTTCAAAAGGTCAATTTTAAATTGTATCTACCATTTTTACCATTTTTTTTTTATGATCATTTTTTATTTTTTTTCTAAATAATTTATATTTATTTATTTTAGCAAAACAAACTTAAACATTTTTGAATGATTTTTATATTTTAATTTTCAAAAGGTCAATTTTAAATTGTATCTACCATTTTTACCATTTTTTTTTTATGATCATTTTTAATGGAGAAAATAGAATGTTCCACGATGTTTAATTAATCTCTCGAGATATTCGAACATTCTATAGAATCGTTGTCTTTTAAGATCAAAAAATTCTTCTTCGAGTATCTGAATTGCTCGAGATCAAACGGGATTAAAAGAATTAAACTTCCATCACTCGAGAAACTCGAGAATACGCCTACGCTTCTCGATAATCTACACATCATTGTATCTCCACTGGAAATTTCAGAGAAATCTGACATCAAAATAAATGTGTCATCCAATCGCTACATTTAGTTTTATTACCAAGTTATTTCTTAAGCATTTGGCCACGATGCAGATAAGTTGAGAATCACTGTTTTAGTCATCTCTAACTCGATACGTTAGAAACATACCTTGGAAACAAAATTTTTAAAGATCTTTTCAACGTGTTGTCACGTCTTCGAGCGATTTTTCTTTCAAACCAAGTGTACCATCGATTTTTATAACTATTAATATGTGTAATATGTATCTCATTCTTTCCTTTCTATTTTTTTTTCTCTTTTAAAAATGCATTTTTAAAAATTCATTAATTTTATTCTCCATAATAATAATGTTCTGTGAAATTTAAATAAAAAAAATACTCTTTTTAAATAGTATGAAACTTTTATTTTTTTTTAAATATTATTATAATAATACTAAAAGAAAAGCATATAAAGTTATATGCGTAATTATAGTATATATATTTTCTTCAATATATTTATCAACGTCTTTTACATTTACTTAGTAGTAATAATTAATAATTAAGTTTCTGTGAAACTTTGAAGATCAAGAAAAAAAGCATTGCATTGTGGCAGCCTATATCTTATCTAGCAAATAAACTGAATACAAGATTAAAATCAAGACAGAAATAAAAATATTCCATATTTTTATCAAGGAAAAAATTGAAAATAAAAATCTTATAACCAAGATTAAATAACGTTGAATGGAATGAACAACAATAGGTGTGCTTATTATACGAATATTTCATTTCATACAATATCACTGAAAATAGATAAGTATAAATTGTAAAATCGTATAAAACATTATTCATATTTCTCAATCTTTAATTCTCTCATTTAATCGCTTATTAATCGCCTAAAATAAAATAGTACCGTTAAAATTCGGCTTTCTGTGTTTAAAATTCGTTCTTATTTTCCAATAGGAAATACATGCATATGGTACAAATTGTTTAACGCTTATAAAGTCGTAGACATAGATATTGATTAATGAAACATAATGAAAAGTAGTATAGTGTTGGAAAAAACGTTTAATAGAAGTCTTCGACAATGTTTCCTTGCCGATGGAACACAAATGGGTAAATAGTCGATCAATATATAGAATGTTTACAAATGCAACATGCATTTTTTTCCATTTTTTCACGAAAATGGACAGAATTAATTAACAACTTTATAATAACAATTATTTAAAGATTTTTCAGTATTCTTTTTATTAATTAAAAAGATACTGTATACTTTAAACGCTATTAAAATACAACTATATGTAGAAAATCCACCAAATAAAATATTCATTTTAGCCATACCAAAATTCTTACATTCAAGCTATTACATATAATTTTAATTGGTATTGTAATTACTTGATCACGTAAAAAGATTATCCCTAAAGTATTTTAACATAAAATATATGTTTAAAAATTCGGTATATGTACTAAAAAAAAAAAAAAAAAAATATATATCTTTTCTTTATATTAAAGAAGAAAAAAAAAATTAATGAATTAATTTGTATACACTATACAGGAATGTATCATAATAGCGTCTTTCGTAAGACACAATATACGTGTTGTCATAACCACGGAGATTAATTAAAAAAACCAGTATGATCTCATAGCAAAAAGATGTTGTACAGTAAAATATATATCCTTGCACGTTAAGATCCTCACGATCAAGAAATTTTTCTAATCCTACTGAAACGATTTTCTTTGAGCAATACTCGAAGAAATAAAATAGCTTTGCTTGCTTTGGAAAACGAACACTAAATGAAAAGATACAGAACGATTCTCTCGAGACCTAATCGTTGAAAAACAATGATGATACACGCGTGAGTATACATAACACGCAGCTACCATATCCACATATACATACGCACACACAAATACGCACGCACAAGCACACACACAGAGATCCTAAAGTGGTCACTTTAATGCGGCATTAGGAATGTCTTCATCGCATTTTCTACGTCAGTCGTATATAGCAATTGTTTCGTTCTTTAAGCGCTAAGTTAGGAAAATATCTCTTTATGAATTCTCGCTTCATTTATATAAATGCGCAGATTTACATATATATTTTCTTTCAACGACTTAACTTTCTTTAATTTTCTAAAGTAAAATAATCTCTCAGCAGAAAATATAAAATCTGCCTATTGACCAATCAACGAATCAGTCCATAATTCTATTACCTTTCAATCCATGTCTTTTAATTTTAAATTGTAAAATAGCAAAATGTAATCTAGGCAACGACTGAATGTGAATCGCTCATTTTTTTAGTAAGCTCTTGCAAGAAATCCCTGTAAATCAACGAGTCCATGTTAGAAGAGAGAATGTAGAGAAGCCACCAATCGCCAAGGTCAATCTTCTTGCTGATACTGTTGCAGGTTTCTATGGAGAGAAGTCGTGATGACAGATGAAGCAATCTTGGTCTGACGGCTGGGGCGAAGATTATGGCGGCTCTGTAGACCATCAAGCCGATCAACAAAATCGATAGAATAGTATACCAGAACCAGATGAAAATATACGTTTTTTCGTTGACGATGTTCAACGGTAGAATACATAGAGAGTCGTGCTTCTGTATGGTTCCTGATGCACCATACTTGTGGAAAATGCATTTGGTAACGCGTGGAAAGACGTAGACCATAGGATCTACACGTTCTTCTTGTGGGACATCGGATAATTGTAAAACTCGCAGTCCATAGCTGAGGAATTCGCCGTCGAAAAACCGATTCATCAGGTACAGTTGAAGGAAAATATTGACAAGACAGAGGGCCTCGCAGGCGAAATACCGGTACACATACGTGTTGTGTGTCTGAAAGAAGAACAAGCAATCGGTGAATTGGCATAAATTGGACTCAATGAAGGCAAATTGGATTTAACCAAATCATCTCAGCCTTCTTTCTCTTCTTTGCTAACCTTTTATGTTCTTTCTCCCAAGATATGATTTTGAAGTATCATGGTTGATAAAAATTTGTTTTAAAGTATTAAAAAATTAACTTAAAAAAATTAATTAATCAGCAATTATTATTTTTATTTTCTTAATTTTATATTAGCAATTAAATTTTACAATTTTTTTTCAAAGAATTGTATTTAATTTTCTAATATTATATAATTAATGAAAAATATGTATTTTAAAAAAGTATTGATAAATTCAATTATAAATTATGATATTATTGATAAATTCATTATAAATTAAAGATTAATTCATAATTTTTATAAAGTATTTCTCATTCTTAAAGAATATAATTTTTTTTTACTCAATTGAAATAATATTATATATATATTATCATTTATAAATATATAAATAAATTTACCTTTCTATATTGCATTAAATAAACCATAAGCGTAGATTTCTTTCTTTGAATATTATCTTCGTGATCGAGACCGTGATTCATACCCATAACCAGTGCGTTGATCAAACCGCCCTCCCACATATTCCACAACCATTGTGGAACGTAGCATAGTACTGCCTGTGAAAAATTATAAATATTTTGTTGATTAAAAGAAAATATTTTTTTTTAAACATGAAAATGTATATTTGAATGAAATTATGCACAAAAAAACATTTCTTAAATTAAGCAATCATTTTATAATATATTTATGAAAACACCAATGATGTATAATCCATGTATAAGCTATGCAGTTTGCATAAAGCGACCAATATAATATTGATTTCTTCGCGATATACGCAAATCTCATATTACATTTATCAGTGAAAGAAATTCCAATGGTTACGTAAAAAACATATACATTTACAATGGAACTTCTTTTATCTGAACGGAGTCATGAGACAAACAGTTCTTACATGTAACTGGAGCACATATAAGAGTATTCTGATTCTCTTCATTACCTATCATTTCTCATTTAAGTAATATGAATTCATATTCAGATAAATAGAATCAATAATGCCAGTATTGAGATATATTATAAAAAGAGTTATATAATCTATAAAATTTGCAATAATAAAAATTTAGTTATTTAAATATTTTATTATATTCAAAATAATTTTTTCAATTTAGCATTTTTTTAAAACCTATTATACAAATAATTACATAATATTATTTAAATTCTATAATAATTCCATAAAGATTATATATCACCTATATATCGATTTTGTATTAAACAAATATTAATAAATCAATAATCCTGAATCATTAATTCATGAATATAGTCATTGTTTGTTATCATTTATTGTTTTATTATGATTTAAACGTATAATTAAGATATCTTCAATCTGAAGAATTAAATTTCACATCTATTTATGTTTATCTAAACTCTTCTATCTGAAATCTCTGCTTACAAAGCTTAATTGAAAAAAAATTAAATTAAAAGTCAAAATTTTTAAATCAAATATGATATATATACATATACATAACGGATTATAATAAACCATTAGAATTGTTACAGAATCAATGGATATTTGTAGAATCGAAACTGAAATCAACACAAATCGAAATTTCTCTTTTCCAAATTTCAAAATTTTTTCAAGTGACAATTTTTAACAATTATTAATGTAATCATGTGCAGAATCGTTTTAATTCTATTCTTTATATTTTTATTTTTTATATTCTCCTATTTTTTATATTATATACGCGTGCAAACTTGCTGATGATTTTTCTTAATTTAATCTAGTCTTTCGACTCTACCGATAAAGGCGTCAAATAGACCGAAACTACTGCCAAAGCAGTTCTCAAGACAGGTAAAGACAAAAACTGATAGCACTGCAAAAAAAAATAGATTATCATCAGTATGATAAAATTTTAAGTCAAGTCAATTTTTTACGCTCATGCATTTTTGTCCGCGAGTCAGTTTCAGATATCCAATACGAGAAAGATGAGAACAGTAAAGAAAAACCTAACCGAGAAGGCACGTGCAGCTGTCTGTGTTTTATCTGTCGCGTGGTAGATTACTGATAAACGAGCCTTTACCTGGAAGAATAACACAAAGCACACCCATTGGTAATAAGTATAATATTTCCTCGCATCTACATCGCCGAAGTCGTTCGCTACTCCTGGATGCGCCACCTCTAGACCAACCTAATGAAAGAAATAAATGTTCTGTTAACAATAGAATAACGACGAAAGAGTGTAAATGTGTTGATTAATTTTATATTTTCACTATATATGCATTTTCTATAGTCTTTATAGGATGTATCAGAAACGGTTATCAAAAGAGAAGTGAAATGAAAAGATAAAAAATTTTATTTTAAAAGAATTAATTTAGAAGAATTTATTTGATACTCGATAAAAGTAAAGAAAATTAAAATATATTAGACAAATATTTATCTCTATTTTATATAATTAAATATATTCAACATAAATTTATAGTGTAATATTTACTGAATGAAAAAAATTGATTTTATAATAAAAAATCAATATATATATATATATATATATTGATTTTTTTTATAGACATTTCAAAATTTAATATCAAAATACATTAAAACTACATAGATTTAAAATTTTATATAAAATGAATAATTATATATAAAGTTACAAAAATGAGTTATTGAGGTTATTAGATAACTTTAGTATAAATCCTAAAATTTTTCCATCGGTATATTATATTTTTTTTTATTTGTAATAAAAAAATAAAAAAAATAACATTTCAAGCAATATTATTAACATTATCAAGCAAAATTTTTGAAAATTTATTATTACATCAAGAAATTTTTTCAAACTTCATTATTTTTATTGCAATTATATTGCAATTATTAATAAGTATATTTTTATTTTTAATTATAACAAAATATCTAAATTATTTATCTAAATTATTTTTTATATATTTATTAATTATAACAAAATCTAAATTATTTATGATTATTTAAATAATTAATTAATAACAGTAATAAATATTTTAATTAATAAATTGCAAATTAAATAATCTACATAATATAAATATGTAAAAAAAATATAAAATTGTATTATTCACCAAATATTACAAATAAATATTTAATGTTATTACATATTATTATATTAAAATAATTTTTAATAATTAATTTGTTTTGAATTTAACAATTGAATTTTTATAATATATTTAATTTAAAGTCTTTTTAAATTGTTTTATTTCAGTTATATAAAAATAAAATCTATTCTATAATTTTATTATATCGAAAACCAGTCGGTATAACATTTTTCTATAGTTATCAACGATTCGTAACCCCACACTATGCCCATCAAGGTTTCGAAGGTTAGAAATAAGTGGTCTCTGTGGTGCCGTGATTAAATATGAATCTAAGTTAGAAAATTAGGAACGTAGTCGTTAAACCAGATTACCCACCTGCCGATTAAATGCGTCCGGCATAGTAAATGTAGAAGTTATCCAGCAATAAGTGTTGATAGGGTGCGTGGGTAAACCCTGAACGATGCAGGAGATCGGATTGCCTACGTATTGGGTGGCCGTGATTACCATCGAACACGTGAAAAGTAGCACCGTTGTAAAGTGGTTGTGTAACCGAAACACCATAGAATCTGTTGTGATTTCCTGCCATTTCAAGTATTGTCCAAGACCTCCTAGTAGTTTATACATGATTGTTTTCTTTAATCAAACGATGCGTTAGGTTGTTTACAATCCTCGTATGTTTTCTTTTCCTTTGCACGATTATTCCCACGTGGTAAAATCGTTCACGAACGAAAAAAAAACAAAAGAGAAAAAAACAAGAGAAACACGTATCGGAAAAATCGGATATTAACTGAAACTTTCCCGAGTCTTCATCTACCAGCTCAGACTCGAAAAGCGGTAAAACGAAACGAAACAGACACACGATCGTACGGCTGTGTCCACGCGGCGTGCCTCCCTCTTTTCCTTTTCTCCCGGTTCTCCTTCTCCTTTGGCGTCCTTCTTCCTTTTCTTCTGCCCTACTCCACCACTGCTTCTTGTTCTTTCTTCGGACCGAAGAGAGTGTGCGCGCGCGCACACGCGATCGGTCACCGAACCACGTTGAACGAGATCGCGAACGGCCACTTTAGACTTTACACACGCACACGGTTATCTTCTGGCAAGAATTTAATTCTGGAATGCGTTAACGAAACAAACGTGTCCTGTCAACATTTTTTGCCGCCAATCAATCGGTTCGAAGGCGTTAAACACGTTCAGAAAACGTTCAGGTGAGTCGTGGTAAACAAATAACCGTGCGTGTTACTGGAAGCAAACAGTGTTTTCTGGATCGATTGTATGTCTTTTTCCACGTGATCTCTGTGATTCCTTGATAGCTAGAGCTACATGTAATCGAGACGCGCGCTCGTTTCGTCTAGTTTTCTCGATCTCCGTAATCGCGCTATGTCACGCCACTAAACCGATTGATTTTTCGCTTTGTGTCAAAGCTACGACACTCACTATCAATCTGCTGCTGTTTTTTTCGTCAGTCGAGGATTTCTCAGAGAGAAACACAGCCTGACGCAAAGTTGTGTAACACCTTGAACTCTCTCAGCGTGCCACGAACCCCCTCTTTCTCCTTCTCTTTCTCTCTCTCTCTCCTCTTCGCGCAGAATTTTTTCTCTCAATATATCGTGCAGATAGATTGTCCGATGAACGGGTTGCGAGTAGCCAACACCGAATTGTGTCGAGCATATACACGTATGTACGTAGCAGTCTTCAACGTCGACTGACGAGAAGTCAGTGGCTTGTTGTTCAGCAGAGGGGCGAGAGGGAAACTCTTTCGATCTGCTAGGGGGACTGCCGGAGTAGAAACGAGTAGGAGAGGGCCCAGGAGGTGGGGATCGAAACGGTGGGGGACCGACGGCTGCTTCAAACTCCCCCCTTTATATACCACAATATATTGTATACCCTGTTTCCATAGTGCATGCTCCTGCGTTCAGCGATGAGGGCTACTGTTGTACGTTCGATTCTTTCTATTTTTTAATAATTTATTTTCTATGCTTAGAATGTATATATTTAAAATTAAGAAATAAAAAAAAAATTTATAAAAAAAATTATCACAGATTTTATTTTTTATTTCTTTTTTTCTGTTTAATTTTATTTATTATGAAAATAATAGCAAATATTTTGAATTTCAAGCATACGAAAATAGCATATAACAAGATATTTCTATCTAATATTCAAAAAATATGAATTATAATAAAAAAAAATTTCATATATTTATAATGTATAATTATAAAAATTTTTAGTTTTTCTTCCGATAATATTTTATTTCAAAATTTGTGATGATTTAAAACCATTACCGTTATTTGCTTACATCTTTCTTTTTCTTTTCTGTTTTGGCCGATCTCTTCTTCGCCTCGAATATCATAATGAAAGTAAATCGGTTTAATTTGATCGTTAAATTCAATTGAACACTGAGGTCGACAGAAGGATCATATGCAGAATTTATACGAACAAAATTTGTATTCTGAATAATAACATCATGTTTAGAATTATTTTATATATAAAATTAATGAATATATATTTTTTTTTAAAGAAGAAAATTATAGGAAGTTTCATATTTCCAATAAGTATGTATTCATTTCTTTCATTATTTTTTTGATGTAAACAAATCTCGAATATCATAAAATAAAACATATTTATCTTATATTATATTTAATATTCGTAAATTCAATAAAAAAGATAACTGCACGTCGAAATTCTGAATAAATAATTTTCATTTTTTTATGACATTTTTAATATATTATAGATAACTAAAATATAACGAATTTCTACTATTTATGTTAATATTATTAGTATCATTAGATGATATTTGCAAACTATAACTAATAATAGATTGTACTACTTTCTAAATGAAAAGTAAGACAATAGAATTTAAAAATTAAAATGAATAAAAAAATTTAATTATTATATTTAATAAAGAATAAAAGTTGATATATAATAATCGAAATTATATTTTTACATATTTTTTTCATATTTTCAAATTCATTTTATACATAAAAATAAATTTGCATATGAAATTACATAAGGCAATATAACAGGATATTATTGCAATCAATATCAGCAATTTTGTGCTGTCTGCTCGCTTCTTCCTTCTCACGTTTTAAGTCTTTATTCTATCGTTTAACAAAGGGTTGCTGTAATTTGTACGTGACCAAATGCACGGTTCCTGAAAGAACTGCATTTTATCCTACGAAAATACCAGTCTCTTGTATTCAGCGTCATTTTGTTTAAGATTATGTTAAATGCTGAGATATATATTAAATTGCAGCAAAAATAATAAAAATTAAAAAAAAAATTTGATAATTTTTTTTTATGTATTTAAATTTTATATTTGTAATATTTAGTTGAATACTGAAGTAGAAACCTTGAAACTTATATAATTTTTCCATTAATTTGAATTTTTTATTTTTTCTTCGACATTTTTATCATTATATTTATAATTGATACTTATTTCTTAATAAATTCCTTTATAATTATATATATATGTTTTTTTTATTTATAGAAAAATTGTTTATTTTCCTTGTAATTTTATATTTAAAATTCAATAAATTTTATTATATAAAAAGATATTTTTATAATGTATAACTTTACAAATTTATAATGATTATATAAAATTGAAATAACTGTTTATCGCAATTCATAATATAACTATTCATAAAAATTAATATTTTTAATATTAAAATTCATATTTTTAATTCTACATAAATGAACATCAATATTTATGTAAATTTATCGCGTCATAATTTTCAATATCAGTTGACTGTACAAAGATTTCAAAAAACAAAGAATTTTTACACGAATACGATATTTTTACATAAGCTGTTGTTCATTGCCATTGACATAAATTTTTTATAAAGATAAAACGAAGATTTAAAGAAACAATTTTTTAAACTTCAGGAAATTTTAACATATTTTTTCTTAGAAAAAAAATATAACACATAATAAATATAAATAATTATTAGATATCATTTTTTAAAAATATAAATTATAATTTCAATAAATAATGAAAGCTATTTCATTCTTCTAAATATTTAAAAATTAGGGTGTTAGATTTGTGTTCGACTTAATTTATGACTACAAATACTCACTCGTGTAAAAACGATGGTGACACATGTTACGCACATGTTTACGGAATCTCGTAAAAGTTCCAGAGACAAGACAGGAGTTCCGGTTACTAAGAATCTATCGCTGCACTTAGAAACTAAACTAATGTTCTACGAAAGAAAATCAGCAAAATTTTAATTCGAAGTAAAACGATACATAAACGTTGCTGCTATGGCGTATCAATAGCAAATGGTAATATGATATTATGTAAATATTTTCGTACGCTCGTCGTCGTTTATCGCTTGTGCTTATTAAAAGATGTAAAGAAATTTTCGTTTGTTTAAATGAGATTATAATAGGTAAAAAATTTTCTAGAGAATATTCGAAGTAAAATATTTTCAAAATATAAACAAAAGGATTTTTTCATTTCCTAATTTCTCATCGATTATGTTATAAATATGAATTTTATTTCTTCTTTTTATAAGATTTAATAACAGTGGTTCGCAACTTATGAGTCGTGACATTCTTTAAAATATTTATAATAAGATTTATTAAATTTATATAATAAATGTCGGGATGAAAAATTATCATTTCTTGATAATCATAAGAATATAATGAGGACATATATAGCTAATCAATTTAAACCTTGTTTTATTCTTGAAAAATACCTTTCACTTAAAACCTTGGTTTTTTACTGGCCTTTAACCGAGAAAACTTCAAATAAATATTTCTTCTGAAATTTCAAAAGAATTTTTATATGTTTTTATATGATTACAAGAATATCATTCTTGTAATCAATTCATTCAATTTATCATAAATTTAATATAATATAATAATAATTTAATATAATCATTTACATCAAGTCTATGTTTTTTAATTTGTAAATACACATAATATTAAAAAGTTAAGTTAGAGTAAGTGAAAGTGAAAGGGTTTAACATGTTACAAGATCCCAATAAATTTATCTTATGGAACAAATTGAAAAATATGATAAATAATCAATAAAATAATCAATATCAGAGAAAATCATTTTTATTATATTATCAGTTAAGAAAATTCTTTTTACTTATTTTCTGTTTTTATTTAATAAAAATAATCTTTGTAATTGTATGAATAAGCATTTGCTAGATAGGATGCTGTTGAATCACGTTTCTGATAATTCAAAACTTGAATCGTTAAAACTTTGTAACTATCACATTCAATGTGAAGAAAATAAATGAGGCACGAATACAAGTGCAATGTGAATTAAAAAGTCAAGGATACTAGGGAAAGCCGTTCTCCGAATATAAATTTACCTTGAATCTGCAATAGATTGAAAGTATTGAAAATAATATTGAGATTTTTCAAATTTTTTTAACTCTAAATTAAATGTAAAATTTGCATTTTTTTTTCAATTCTTAAAAGTTAAAATTAGTCAATTAGGATTAAGTGTGTTTAATTGAAAATGCAATTTTAAATTATCCAAATTCCAAGAAAATTGGAAAAAAAGGAGAAAACCATCTGGAAAATATAAAAAATAGAGAATAATCTTGTTATTCTGAGAATTCTGAATTTAAGATTTAAGAAATAAGAATTGAATATATTAGGTTAGGAATTAGGAACGGTTTTCTGTTCAAAGATTTCTACTAATGTACTATATGAATAATTGAAACAAGTTAGTCAACAATAACTGACATACCATCTATGAGTCAAGAATTTTGATATAACAGAACGAATTCGTGGGTATGAGAATCTTTTCATGTCTCCATCTGGACTAGCATCATTCGAGTAACGTCTCATGGTATACATATATATGTATGATCGATATGTATGGATACACGTTGGGATCGCATCGTGTCTATTAATGAAAGAAATTTAGATTCTGGAAATTGTCAGCATTATTATATTTTTAGTTTATTAATAATAAATAATTTTATTGAAATATTAAAATATAATAAATATTGGATAAATATTTAAACATTAGAAAACTGTGCAAATATGAATTAATCTTGATATAGCTTGATCAGTGGAATTCTCTTTTGTCGAAAAGGAACAATGAATAAAAAAGAAAAGTGGCTGAAAATTAAAATAAATATATAAAATTTGATAAAGTTTGTAAATTCGACATAGTAAAATTACTGTACTTTGTTGCTGAATGTCACTATTGTCATTTTCAAACTTTCTACTTTTTGTATCGCTTTTAAAAAAGTATGCTATTATCTTGTCCACTTTCAAAATTGATTTTCATGAAAGTCATTTTATAAAAAGAATTTTCAGAGAGTTACTTTTAATATTGTATGTCCTTCACATTCCTTTAAGAAATGTTTTGGTTAGGTTAGATTAATATATAGATTAATATATAAAAAATAATTAGATTAAAAAATATTTATATTTAGATAACTATAAATTATATAATTAAAAATAATTGCATTAAAATATTCCTCTATTTACTTACTTAGTTCAATAATCTTTTTTTAGAAGTAAACAAAAAATATTGAAAGATATTTTGATACCATTTTTTTTACATGATATTCTTTTCTGCAAAAAAAGAAAAGAATGAAAACTTAATCTAGATCAAAACAATATTTTACTTTATTTGACATGATTATTCTTTTTTTTGAGCGTTCTTGTTCACGTAAATTACGTTAGTACCGTGGTTTTCATATCGTGATCTCGTTTTCGTTGCAACCGGTCGCTGGTCCAAATGTGCAACGTGATGTAACCCAAGCTTTTGTGCAGACGCACCGCAATACGATATCGCCACGACCCACCGACATCTCGGTTTCTCTACACAACCAGGTTGATTCTTGTGACCGTGTTCCATGTAACGAACGTCGCACATATAACGAGATAAAAATAAAAACAAAACAAAAAAAAAAAAAAAAAAAAAAAGAAAGAAAAAACGAAAAATGAGAGGGGAAAAAAAACGGAAACGAAAAGAAAAAAATCGAATGCCTGCACTGAATCCAAGATCATTGATCAATTGAAATTTATTCGAAAATATATATGTTCATTCTTGTGATTCGCTGTTATCTTATCACAGAAAGTGACCTCTCTCTATAAACCTATTGAATAATATCACCCCACATTATAGTGTGGGTACATTAAACTCGGTCAAGGCACTAAAAGCAGTATTTAAGAATTATATTGAACCCCTACTACACTAACGTTTCTAGGAAAATGACACTTTTATTTAATGATTTTAAAGAGAAATAAAAAAAAATTTTAACCAACATTCGACAAATTTATCAAATTTTCTAAATGTATATTGAATTTTCAGGAAGATTTCATGCGATTTCATTTAAATTTATATTCATAAATTCTTAAATATATTAAATAAAATATTAAACCGACATGATTGGAAAACTGGTTTTATTTTTATGGAAAGAATATTAAATAAAGAAGTTAAAAATATAAACATTTTCTGATGAATTGAATCTTTTTTTTTGATATTATTACATTTTATATTTTTATGGTAGAATTTCTTTTGAATTTTATTTTTCGCTCATTGAATTTTGTTTTAGTTTCAATTTCGTTCCATAAAAATATATCTGCAAATGTTTTATAAATTAAATGAATTTTGAACAAAAACAAAAAACAAATAATAATTTAAAACAAAAAAGAAATAATGAATTAGAGATATTAAAAAGATTGAAACAAATATGTGCGCAATAATATTAAATTTTCTTATATCGAAATTCCATGTTATTTGTCCAACCACCAAATAATATGTTTGAGTTTAATGGTTCGTCCCCTTTGCTACGCTTTAAACGCGTCCTTAGTTGCAATTATCTTAATTAGAGTTTATAAACGATGACAATCACTCGTTTTGTCAGCGAAAAATTGCTCTTTCCTCTTTGCTTTTCGACCAAACCGCTTTACGTGCATCGTCCACAATAAATCTTACAAGTCTTCTCGTCACCTGTGGTTTGTTCAAAAACCGTGACCGCCATTCGATGCACTCGATCGCGTTCCACGAGAGTTGCGTTCTTCCAGTTGAACTAAGCTTCCTTGCTCAAATTTCTTCTTATTCGTAAATCTAATAATTAGAAAAATATATTTAATAAATATTTATTTTATTTTTTCATTTGGAAGAATTTTTATTTTATTAGTCAATTTTTTTATATGTATATTGAGATGTTATTGAGGTTATACTTATCATGCTTTTCTTTAAAAAGGTTAAGTATGTTTTATATTCTTTAAATATGTTTTATATTTTTCTTTCTTATTATTAATATCATTAAATTACTTAATATCATTGATCTATTAATATCATTAAATTATTTGTTATTCTCTTATGTTTTTTTTAAAATTCAAGTATATTAACAGGAAATAATTGAAATTAAATTTAGATAGTTCAAAGTAAACATATTTGAATCAAAGTTTAATTTTTAAAATTTCTTAAAAAAATTAATATCTTCTCAAGTGATTTCATGATTTAGAGAATTATGTCACTTTTTTAATTATTTTTATAATACATTTTTTACTATTTCCCATCGACACAATGGGATCATACTTAACGTCTCTAATATTATTCATCTTCTCAATAACCAACTAATGTATGTGATCTATTTAAAACTTTTGATTATATAATTTCAAGTATTCTGTTGATCATTATTCGTAAGCGATCATTTAACCAGGATGTGTTTAAATGGCGTTTCCTCCAGAATCTTTTAAAAACCAAGCATCATAAATTATTCTCAGAATTCACATGAACTTACGTAAATTCGTTTGAAATTCAAATTTCAACGAAACAATTATTATTTGCACAATTAGATCTGCGTTAAATTTACATAAATAACTCCCATAATCTAATAAAATAAAATCATGAATTTTATACTATAATATAAATAAAAATAATTTGTTTTTAAAGTTATGAAATATGTAAAATAAATAAAATTTAATATCTTTTAAAGTTATAATATGTATATTATACCAATTCTATTCTATCTATGATAATACGATATATTCATTAGAATTTAAAATTTTGTTATAATATATCTATATCACAATAAATTCTTTTCTTGAATTCTAATAATTATGAATTGAATTCTATAAATTATTAAATTTTTCCTTGAAGCTTGTTCCTCTTAGCGTCTGTCACTGTACTTTCACGAGAAGAAGCGAGTAGAGCACCGATATCATTTATATTCTTGAACCCTGTCAAACCGGTTTTCACGAGACTCCATGGTTGAGAACCGCTGTAGGTCAATCGTGTCAATTGTGATGAATGTATGTCGACTCTGCTCGCAGTCTGGTCCTTGTAATTCTTCGTGCTAAATTGTATAATCTGTCATAGTGCGTGTAACATGCATCCAATAACGTGAATAAAATAATAATGAAAATTGTGTACCGATCGAGAGCTTGTATTTCTTTGTTCTTCGAACTAGAATAGGATTTTCATTCCTTCTCTTTTCCATTAATGTATAATTAATGATACAACGATAATGTTAGCAATTGTAAATTGAACAATTATCTGAAAAAAGAATCTATATAAGAAAATAAAAGAAAATATTTGCTTTTTTTTATTAAATTTTTATTAAATTTATTAAATATAAAATTTTTATTAAATTGTTATAAATAAATGCATCTAGAAAATATATAATTTATATTTAAATGCATATTTTTTTATATAATAGGTTTTTTCATGATATTATTTTAAATATAGATATATTAATAAATATATATTTAATGTTATTAATTATATGATGTTATTAAAGAATATATGTTAGTTGTTACAAGAAAATTTATGAGTTCATTGACCTGTTTTCTATAATTACTATTAGTTTAATTTTTCCTTTTTTTTTTTTACTTTTTCCTATTTAATCTTAAACAAAATTACAAAATAAAAATGATTATTATAATTAGAAAATTATTTTCTAATTTTAAATTTACAAAAAAATAAGACTTCTAAATTACATTGATTGCTTATATCATACATTAAAAAAATCATACATTAAAAAAAATTATATTAGCAAATTTTTTAATGATTAATTTTCGTCAATTTTAAAATTATTAAATTGATTAGCAAACATTTATTAATATTATAGTGCTATGAGAATTTCTTGAAGTATCTTGTTTAAGTTCTTAGTATGAACGAATAGCAATTGTAATCGTGATATTTCTAAGAAATTATCAATACAAGGTGTGTATATATATCTGTGTGATATAAAGAATACTAATTAAAATTTTCTTATTATTTTATCGCTGATTAAACATTCTGAGGAGATTCTACACAAGCTAAAAATAACTGATAATGCAACTCGTGTAAGACATAACTTAATAAGCGATCACATTCATGCTACATCAGCGATAAAAAAATCATTGTAAGCCACTTAGGTGACAGAAGAATAAATGTTTGAATAGCAATTTAAACAAAATTATTCAAAAATTAACTTTAATTTTTTAACCATAGTTGCTACTAAAATAAAGAAAATTTGATAAATTTGAATTTACTGATATAGATTATTTTTCATCTAATTATCTTATTTCATAATTTTAAATATTATTTTTTTATTTATTATATTTTTTTTATAGTATTATATTTTATCAAATTTAAATCGAATTTAAATCGAATTTAAATCGAAATCGAAAAATAGGGAAGAACATTAATAACATACAATATTTCACTAATATAAAATAAATAATATTTAATTCTTAATAAATATGTAAATTTTAATCAATAAAAATGTTTGTAATTTTTAAAAAACTTTTTTAAAGCTTTCATCTTATAAAATCAATAGAATATAAAATTAAACTAAAAATATTAAACTAAAACTAAAAAAGATTGTTTCTTATATGTAACATCAATCTAATATTTATTCTTCAATAAAGAAGAGAGATAATAGAACTAGTTGCTATTTGTAAAGTGTACTTACAAAATTGTTGTCTAAGTATAGCAAGTGAAAATTACTGGTAACCAAGGATACGTTGAATAGAATCCATGTTCGTAGATAGAAAGAAGGAAAAGGCTGGGACTTGTAAGGGCACACTTGGTCACGTTGAATCCGAGTCGGTCCGATGTGTAAATACCTTACTCGATGAGTGCACGTTAACCTCATTATCCATGCACACGTGGTCTCCGAGTCTCTGGACGTTCACTGTAACCACGCCAATACGAAAGACACACATTGAATAAAGATAGAATCTTGATACAACAGCACCGTTGTTTATTCATGGGTTTCCACGTCGTTTCGAATAAATGAACGAATACAAGATATTATTATACCTATACAACTTATCCGAAAGATTTTTCAGAATTAGTTTTTTTTAAGAAAAAAAAAGTTAAAAATTTTACTGTTAACAATTTGATTAAATTTTACTTTAAAAGTAACAATATAATCATAGTTGATTAACTTTGTTATTCAGAAATATGCAACGATGCCAGTCATCTGTGGCTACTGTGGCTCCACTGATAAATTGTGGTTAAGAATATAAATACAGTAATAGTCAGTGTGTTAATATATCGTGATTTAATGAAAACTTTTATGGATAACATATTAGATCAGTCGTTTTCATCCTTTTTGAATTTATTACTCAAAAAATTTCTAAGAATAAGTATTCTTATCATGTTAAGACAAGGCATTACTTGATGTTTATTTTTTTTTTTTTTTTTAGAAGACACGCATACTTTGTCAGAGATACATCAGTTGGTCGTTCAAAATTCTATCACAGTACAAGAGTACAAGAGTAAAGTATTGGATGAAATACGAAATGCATTCTTATTCCTTCTGTATCCTTCTTGCTTCTTGAAACGCTTTTAGAATATTTTACTCACTGCCACCAATGAAGAATGCCATTTGTGCTGCTAATGAGTTTTATCGTTATTTTAATCGTTTTTGTTATAATTAATTTCGGTTGCTTTTCATAAAAATAAGCCTTAATTTATTTTTCTTCTTTATAAGATACTAAATAATAAAAGTACAAATAGAATATTCTATAAAAAATTCTATAATATATTTATATATAATATATATATAAATATATATTATATATGTAATATATTCTATAATAAATTTTATCAAATAACGTAATAATTAAGGATTTCGAAAAATTTTCTTAGAGTCTATGATTTATTTTTTCTTTTAATCTTCATAGAGAAGACCTTGTGCTTAATAAATCATCAAAGTGCAAACAAGATCAAAAGTAAATTCTACTTATGAAAATATTCAACTGAATAGATTTTATCAATCTTTTTCTGGCGCGAAAATTGAACTTTCTTTCTGTTCTACGATGGAGCAACATAATATAATCGGAAATTCCTTTCAACTGACGAACGGTAGTGACAGTTTTTTGAGCGAGTAGATAATAAATTTACTATTTCGTGAGTCAGTATCTGATTGGTTTTGAAAGTCCGTGCACGTGTATGTAATAGTACGAGAATATCACGGGTCATTTATTGCGATATTTCATCAGATTTCTATAAGTTACGATAATGATATAATTTCCAAACTATTAGTGAAAATGGAAGTTGTAGAATGAAACAAAAATGTCTTGAGAAATATAAATTTTAATTTTTATGTTTCATTTTTTTCATCTGTTCACTATTATCTTTAGTTCAAGATATTTAATTTTTTTCTTTACTCTTTTAGACAGTGGTTTTCAATGTGTGGCTCCTAAACCACAAAAAGATTATACAAATAACATTTTATTAAAAACTAAAAATTTATTTTTCTTTATTATTTTATTCTTCTAATATATCGACTCTAAGTACTTAAATAATGATGAACATTTGAATTAATGAATTTTTAATTACTATTGAATGACATATATTATAATATAATGCGTAAATAAGTTCTTTTAATGACATTATTACAAAATGATCTTGAAATTCATAAATTTTTCTAAATTAAATGATAATTTTTTACATACTAAAATTTAGAATTATTAAAGAAATTAAAAAAGATAATCTTGAAAAGAATAAAAAAAAAATATAATATTTATTTAAAATTATCAAATATGACATACTAAAAATACAAACATATTATTAAATTTTCAAATTTTTATAATTATAACACTAGATACAAAATAAGTAAAATACCAGATTCATTCATTTCAATAGAAAATATAATACTAAAACCGTGTCAGATTATCGGAACAGTTTAAATACATTAGATACATTAAATACATGCGTATGTTACGATCGTCAAAGAACCTTCCGTATAATATGCATGTTCTCTTTTCTCTAATGCACAGTCGTCATTTCCCGGTTGTGAGAGAGAACATAATGGACCATATTCCGGTCGCGATGATTCTTCTTTTCATAAAAAGAACGAACAAAGATCTCGTAATCTGATTTTACAATTTACCTCTTGATCCAATACACACAATTGTTTAATTATATTTCGTTTTTTATTTTTAATAACTCATTCTTCATTTTCTTCGATATATTTAATTTTTAATCTCAAATCATGACATTTTTCTTTTTATTTTATTTTATTCTATTTTATTAGTTATAATTATATTTATTGTAGTATTTATTAGTATTTATTAATTAATATTAGTATTTATTAATTAGTTATTTTTTAGTATTTATTAATTAGTATTATAATATTTTATATTATATTATAATATTTTATATTATTTCATCCTTTCGTTTCGTTTTTCTATTTTAAGGTTATATCTATGACAAAATATTATTAATGTATATAATATTTAATATAGGTTATAAATACATAAATAATACAATGATTTATAAAAATATAATTATTTAATACATTTTGTACTCTAATTTTCTACTTTATTCTTATAAATTTTATTACCATACACAGCAGATATTTCAAATATATTCTTAATATCAGTTCTCGATAATGAGTTAACAGTTGAGTAATCAGTTTCTTTCATTAGTGTCGATGATACAACTCTCTGTCAACATATGTTACAAGCTTTGATAAGTTTTTCATTGCCATTATTAAGACGAATTAAAATCTATTTAAATTCCATTCTTTTTGTCAAATAATTTTTCTTTTTGAAAAACCATCGTTATATTCAATAGTTCTAAAAATCAAACCTATAAATTCATTATGAAGAAAATGAGATTTATGATTTCCAAAGCAAATCTGAAGGAAGTTATTATCAAGTCTTGTCAAGTATTTTTTATCAAGTAATAATAACTTCTAGGAAAATTAGTATATTTGATATATTATTGAAATTTTAAATATATTTATTACATTCGTACAATTAACTCGAAAATGAAATTAGAAAATTTGCAGATGAACGTAAATGGATTAATTTAATGATAAGTCACGTTGCAAAAACCAATCAATCTTTTAAACGATTTAATAATCCCGATTATTGTTGAGCAGCTGAAGAGGTTTAATATAACCTATATTTACTTGCATATATAACGGTATATAAGTGCACTCTAATTGAGATGTACCAAAGGAAGATACAGAGTTACGTTGAAAAACTTAAGGAATTATGTAACTATCATATTCTCTTCAAAATTATATACTGACTGTATATTATATATATATGATTTTTATGTATTTATATATATAACTTTTAATATACGTAAAAATTTTGTACACAAATAAGTGACTAGGATTCAAATGATATGATAAAATTAAATGGATATCTGTAATTATATTTGTATTTGAAAAAATGCAATATTAATTTTCCTCAAAAATATCAGTAATTATAAAATAAAATCTTTATTAGCATATTTGTTAAAACATATTTATTAAAATATAATACATATTTCTAATATTAATAATTTAAAAATATTTAAATTTTCATTTTATTTATTTTATTTCTTTGCAACATATATAACAAAATTTTTTTTATTTTTACAATAAAAATGTATTAATTATTTATAACGATTGTAATATTGAAAAATTGGTAATAATTATGAAAAAAACAAATTTTCCTTTCAAATAAATGCTTACATTATTAATTAAAAATATAGTTTTATTCATACAACATTAACAAAAATTTTTATGTAGTTTTAAAATTTTCTGAAATGATGTAAAAAATAGAATCAAATTCGATAATTTGTCTAATTTGATGATGATGCAATCTTTACATCTTTAGATTTATTTACATTATATTACATAACTATCTAAATACTATAACACACTATAAGTATTATTATACACACTATAAGTAGCATATATGAATAAAAATGATATTTGATGGTATTTACAATACAAAATTACATTATATAAATATATAAAAAATAACTTACGATTGACCTTGATTAGGTAAATATATAAATAAAATATTTTATTTACATATTTATTACATATTTTACATTAAATATTTAATTTCATATGCTAATTACATTATTTATATTTAATATATAATTAATAATTATATATAATTTTTTATATATATAATTATTTTTAATTTATATATAATTAATAATTTTTTTTTCAGCTTTTTAAAAAGTTTGAAAAAACTTTTAAAAATATATTATTAATGTCATTACTTCATTATATAATCATTTGTTAAAATGAAAAAAACTTTCTTCAAATTTTTAAAATTCTCAAAATTATTTTAATAAATACATTAAAAAATTTTGAAATTTTTTTCAATAAAGAGAAATAAAATTGAAGAAATTCTCAATAATCCAATTTATCTGCGAACATAAAGAATTAATTTAATCATATAAATAAACTAATTGAACTTCACTCAAAAAATAAAAAAAATTATTTGATACTTTTCAAATCTATTTAATATCTTCTCTTATCTTTTTGTAATATTTATTCATTTTATCGATGTTTATTTATTGAGTTTACCGATATTTTTATCTGATATTAATCTATTTATTTTTCAGACTTTATTCAACACTGATTTATTTGACATAATCATCAAACTTATTTTATTAATTTTTATATTTACAATAATATTTACATTCTTTTCTTTGCAAAGACTATACAAAGATCAATATATCAAAAAAATATATATAAATCATATTATTTGAAAATTTGTTTATCCAAAAATAAATATATCATTATAATTTGATTAATAATTTTAAGTTATAATTTTAATTTAATTTTAATAATTTAGTTTCATATCTTCGATTTTTTGATGATCTTATAATAAAAAATATGCTCACTTATGCGTAGTTAAAATTGACTCTCTTT